AAGGAGCTCCAAAGGATTCCGAAGAGCGGCATGCAGCCGATGTTATACGGCACTTTGGGGGAAGAACCGACAATTAAGTTACGATGGAGATGGATTGGATGAATACTTACCTATGCAACTCCTAATCATCATTCTCAACTCTCAACTACGGTTGTTTGGCATGGAGAGGTGAGGTGGGGTAGTTGTCGTTGGATTCATGTTGTGATTTGAAATCAAGTGAAGATAATTGAAGTATGGTTATTGATCAAGCAAATCCTTGAAAATCGGGTTACTTGAAATTGCAAAAGGGTTTCTTCTTTTCGCGTGTGAGGAACTTTTTGGAGAGTAAATTAGTATTTGACAGGGTGGCTGTAATTTAAAGATAAAGATTTCCCCGCGAAAACTTTGTCTGAACATCAGGACTTCCGAGCATGATGGTTCGGAAACGGGTGTCCGGGACATCCTCACGCCCCGCACATAAAAAACGTGATTGGCTCTACTTAGGTAGAGCGAGCGATGGGAAGGGATGTAAGCCGAGTGGAAAGGGATTGTGGAAACCAATAGTGAGCGATTGTAGTCTCAGGTAATGTGCTGAGCTGCACTTGTTCAGCTCAACTTTGATCATACACTTGATTAACTTAGTGTTCAAAGACGGCTGAGCACCAGATAGCTCAGAGAGCTTAGGTTACGACTAAGGAGAAGAACGAAATTTCAAATTTCAAATCTCAAAGAACAAAGTTGACACGTTCTAACGATCTCGACGTCGAGAACGTCTCTCGTGGACGCAGTGTGCCCTGCAAAAGGTAGATTTGGGTGAGGAACTGCAAATCCTGTCATCGCATGATTTGAGATATATCACAACTAACCTGCTTTGACCTCCTTATCATACCCTGGACGAAAGCCAGCCGCAAACATCCTGCCATGTTTTCGTCCTAATCTCCTACAACGGTAAGTCGCTCCATTGTTTTTGACTTCACCACAAGCTCTTGCATGCTGATAGACAGTCGATATTGAATGATTAAGCATATTGAAATAACTCTGGTCCATGTCGTCCCGTTCAATAAATCGTACTACGCACAGCAGCTCACAGGTATGGTAGTCGAGGCAAACGACAGTTCCATAAGTGAGAGTTAGGCGAGGTTGTCCATAACGACGACCTTTTTTAAGGAAAAGGAACTTCGCATCGGGGGGTAGGCCATAAGCTTCTATAAGTTCAGCCTTTTTGGCAGATCAAGCATTTGGCGGTGGCTGCTCGGGTCGCTCAAGATGCTTTCTAATAGATCGATTGAGACGAGATTTTAAGGTTGCTGGGGATTTGTACACTGTAAACATCATTCAACTTCCCCAATTTGGCAGAGGAAAATGATTAATAGTACAGTTTTTCATAAAAGAATCTAATACTGCACACCTGGGCCATTTCACCCACACTACATATGTGCAGCAAGC